AAAGAGGGGGAGAGAACGAAGATGTTGAGTGCAAATAGTTTTTTAAGGACAAAAATATTATTGACTAAAATCCCTAGAAAGAACGTTTCTTTTGGATATTAAAATAGTTCTATTCGCGTTGTTTGCACTTTTTTTCTCTCAATATTTGGAATTGAATAAAATTATTAATATGTTTATAAACGATTATTAACATTTAAATGGAAGTATCAAATGTTATTATCCTTCGTAACAAAAATCTTTTTTAACTATTAGTTTCTTCTAATTATTAAATCGTTTTCGACAATTTATTTTCCCTTAATTATGGACAGAAGGAAGTGTGTATGGGGGATAAAAGTAATAAATGCAATAGTAGGAATTATACTTTTATTATTTTATTATAAAGGACAGTACGTTACACAGATACATTTTTTGGAGGTACTGACGTGCAGTCTTGAAAGATTCTAAATAGATTCTGTACCTTTGATGTGCACAGAAGACTATATTTATTTAAAAAGTAAAGATTTTTTTATTTGTCATAACAGTTTGTGATATTTAGATGATATTTATGGAATCAAAGAAAAAAGAGGTGCATTCCCTGAAAGAGCGATCGTATAATTTTTTGTCATGTTTTAAATTATTTTTTATATGTTGACTCATTATTTCAGACTTTTAATATAAACGAACTGCTCTACTAAAATTTAACTATTAATCCATTAAAAACTATTAATTCGTATGGAAGATTTAAATTAAAATTTTAAAAAAATATTGTTTAGATATAGCGCAGATGATGTCGAGTAGAAAAATGTCGGAAGCTCGGAGAAGGAGAATTAGGATATTTGCTACTTTGTTAAATTTAATATGCATTTTCGATTAATATAATAGTTATGTGCATATAGCAAAATTAAATAAAACACTAGATATGATAATTTAAAGACTAAAATATTATCGTCAACTCCACGCACAACACATATACCTATAATATTATCTATTGCCAGTCATTGGAATGCTTACATTATAAGCTAGTAATGAAAATGATGATTCGTCTTCGTTTTCATTTTTTTTTTTGGATGAAAATAGTAAAATGGAATTTCACTGATTTCGCATGAAACTGTGTCAATATATTATATCACTTATATTTGTTCCAGATCTATCAGTTGTTTACTCTTTTCTGATTGTTAGAATTGATTTACTACATTGTAACGTTTCTCGATAAAACGTTTAACAGCATTAATTAGTCTTGTAACGTGTTAATATAATCACGAAATATTTATATAAATATACTTTGAATAGACTTTGCAGATATCTTATATCTGCAAGACATTTTATGGAGAAAGCAAAAAAGTCATGTATTTCGAAAAATATTAGCGATAGAAGAAAAGTTAGAGATTAAAACCTTTTGGTCCCGTAGTTGCTATTACATAAACAAAAGCTAAATTAATTATATTCAATGGCAAAGAGACGTGTATAAATTTGGAGAGTATTCTTTTGAATTTATATAAGAGATTTTTTACAAAAATATTATAATGCATTTCTTAAAACAACTTCTTATTTTATACAAAGACAGGGACAATCATGCTTTGCATGCTTTAAAATAAAATATCATATTTAGATTTTTAGAAAAACTTTCTGAAATATCTTATAGAATTTATGAATGTTTAAACTATTAATTAAAAGATAATTTCTTTTTATTGTAATAGAAATATCATTGTAGTTCTCTTTTGTATAAAAATTTTTTGGATACTTTTATTGCTTATCAGAAGAAGATTTAATTGCCTATCAGAAGAAGCGTTAATTGACGTGAAACAGGATAATCTAATAGACATTGCAATAAAATAGACATTGCAATAAAAAAAAAGATTGCATTACTATCACGAAAAGAATGCACTGCGGAAATGTAATATAGTTAAGTTATTTTTTTTTAAACCGGCTTGGTAGACCTTTCATCTAGAGTTTTTAATAAAAATACAACGAATTAAAATATTGCTTTTTCCTCTAACTCTTTTTCTATCTTTAAGGCTATTTAATATACACGACTAGTTTGTTTTGCAAAACTATTTGTATATATACATTTATGAAGAAGACATAATGAAGTCTACACAGTATATACATTTCATAAAGAAAATTCTTTTTTGAAAGAAAGATGGATGTAGCATATAATCCACAAACGACACACACACACACACACACACACACACACATCGCTTAATTGTAGACTATACATCCATCTTTTTTTTAAATAGAATTTTCTTTTTTATATATTTGTATCTACTATTTCCAATTGTGTACGTGTGTGCGCGCGCGCGCTGTCTTTTCTATCGAACAGTTCCATCAAATAGTCGTACTACCTAATTTGTCACGGATATCCAATTTACACGATCAGCTTTAATTGCACCAACGGCATTAGAGAGAGTTAGATAAAGAATCTTGTACTAGTTATGCGATTGTTATTTAATTTCATATCAATTGTTTTTACATTATAATTCTACCGTTAATATCGTTAATAATAATAATTTGACCAAAAATTGTTAATCAGTAATAGCATTAATCCATATCGATATAGCCAATCTTTAGATGAGAAATTACGAGAGATTGTGTGTGTTTTAAAATTGCACATGTAAGAGGATATTTTTCCTGGAAGATCTTTCTAACACAAATAGAAGATTTATAAGTTCGGTCTCTTGCGGCGCATTGTGCCCAGAGCTGACCAAGTCGTAATCGTAACCGGATTTTACCCCACGCTGCTTTTTATGAACTTTTCTTTAAGAGCTCGCGTGGGGTGACTGAATAGAATATATATATAGATATATATATATCCGCAAGGTATTAATTTGCTCGTTAGTGTGATTATGCGAGCGAAAGTCCAACAATTTATTTTAATCGTGATGATATGAAAGTAGCTGTTACGAAAAATCCATGTTAAGTACATGCTTCCTACGTATTTCGCGATCTATATTCATTCGTGGAATTGTTAGTTACATCGCTAACGATGTTTTTCCTTTCTACCGCGTCTTGGTGATGATAAATCGTAGTCTTGGAGCACATTGGAGCACTGTATTCGAGATGATTTCTCTTGATATTTTTCAGGCGCGATGAGTTCAAGTCGCACGGAACGATTCTTTCAGTTTTTTTGAAAGTTAATTTTTCGGATCACGTTTGATTTACTCACGCATCACGGAATCGAATCGCTCGTTCTCGACGTGGCCCTGTTCGGGCCGTTGTGTGTCGTCACATACCGCTGCTGGGGAGACCACTTCCGGGCGCGCATATGCCGCCGTCGCTGCTCTGACTGACGCTAC